CTCTTTTCCCAATGACATGGCAAGTTTCAAAGCCAGCCTGTGAGGCCCTATTTCAACAACACAAACCAAAACCAATAAAGTAAGGCCCACTGACTGGGGTGCAATTAAGCAAGACGAAAGTCTCTCACTTAACATGAATGATAGAGAGAGGCAAAAAAAAACCAAAAAACTCCAGTACAAATGTCACTGCATGCCCAAGCCGTCGACCCAACCTGCCCATCTCTTCAGATGGATGTGGCTGCCACTCCCCACCCCTGCTAGGAAGAAAAACACTGCTCTGGGTAATTGCCACCTCCCTGGAGTAGCCGCCAACATGCAAACATTGATGGGCCCAAAGACCAGAATCAGATTAGTAAGTGCAGTCTGGACTCAGCACCTGCAGAGAAAATGCAAGCTCCTCCTCGTGGGCACCATTCTGCACGGTGATGCTGGCTCCCGGCACCCTTTGAAGTCCTTTGGCCCTGTATCAATGAGCACTAAGAAACAAGCCCTACATGCCAATCTCCGTCATCATCACCAAGTACTTCAAAAAGATGAGGCAAGGCCGGAAGTTCAAAAGAACGTGCCCACAACCGCACCACTTGTAATCCAGGAAATTATAGGCACTGCCGTCACAGGAGACTCACAGGGCAGGTGCCTCTGCAAATCTCCTCTTCTTGCCAACAGGCCCCTGCTGGAGGTTAATAGGAACTTCCAGTCCTCCGCGCAGGCCTTGCACCGCAGAGCCATGGCCCCTGAAATTTCTAGCACTTCAAAAGAAATACAGGGTTTAGCACCTGTTTGTTTCAGAAATACTTGCTAAAAACAGATCTGCCAAAAGGCCACCTCTAAAATTAGTCATATTTCCTGCTCCGCAAAACATAGTAAAAGGGTAATTTTAGTAACTTCTTCACTCCAGGTATCTGGTACCGTGGTGTTCTGTGCGCGATGACTTGTAACTTACTAAGCAGGCAGTCCTTGTTTGGGGCCCCAAAATAGCTCTAATGAAATGTGTAAACGGGCTCTTTAAATAAAAACCGAAGGTGAGAATGAGTTATCTGAGATAGTTCAGTGTACCCTTGGCCTCTTAATCACAGGTGCGGTGAAGGTGAAGGAGCCCCGCCCCCGCTTGCCCTGCTGGAGTCAAGTTTGCCTACCCCGCCGGCCGGCTGTGCCCGAGACAGGCTGTGCCCGCGACAGGCTGTGCCCGCGACATCGCTGTTCTTTCCCCTACGGAACTGCTTTGCTTTGTTCTTAAGTATTTTTTTTTTGTTGTTTGTTTTTCGAGACAGGGTTTCTCTGTGTAGCTTTGCGCCTCTCCTGGAACTCACTTGGTAGCCCAGGCTGGCCTCGAACTCACAGAGATCCACCTGGCTCTGCCTCCCGAGTGCTGGGATTAAAGGCGTGCGCCACCACCGCGCGGCTGTTCTTAAGTATTTTTAACTTCATCACATTTGCTGGGGAGAGGTGGCGCACAGCAAAGGGCACCTGGGGAAGTCTGAGGGTCAGGGGACAGCTCTTACAAGTTGTCTCTCTTCTTCCACCACGGGAGTACCAGGGAGGAAGCATGGGTCACCCGGCCTGCCAGCAGACACCTGTCACTGCTAAGCCCCTTCAGCTTTGGTCTACTCACGTTTTCAAATGTGATAGCAACTTCTGGTGGGTCTAACACAAGCATCTCTTTACCTACGGAGAACCACTGTGAGGCCACAAGCACAGCCTCCCCCAGTCTGTCAGAGGTGCTAGTCCACACTCCTGCCCGGCAACTCCGTTCTCTAGGTCAAAGCCGCAATGAGTGATGCTTTCCAGAATCTAACAGATGATTCCTGGTCCAAACATCACTTCAGCCATGAATGAGAACATAGTAACTAAGAGTCCCACATGATCAAGTGAATATTTATTTCTACGGACAGAGACTGTCTTCACTAAAGGAGAGTAAAATTTAGGTCTCAGACCTAAGCCATCCTTTGTGTCCAGCAGTAAAGGGGTCATCCAGATTCAGATTACTTCCAAACAACTTAAGAGGCCCTTTAGGTAAAAACACTTCCCTGCCTTGCAGGAAGCAGGGTCAATAGGAGCCTCTTGATGAGATAGAGCTGAGCCCAAAATCAAAGTGGGGGGAAAGGGAACTAGTTTATTATCTGGACTCAGCCAGGAATGCCCAGCAAACCCTGGAGGATTTTATCCAAAGCATTTTGCAAATATGCACCTTATCAAAAAACATACCCTCCTCCCACCACCACCCACACTGCTTCAAAAGCCTTCCACTAGAACGAGTCTGAATCTGGCCACAAATGAACCAAAATAAAACACATGCTTTGATAAGAGATGCTCTGAAACAGATGGAACTCGAGATCATGTGCCCTTGTCTCCCTCCTCGCCTGGTCCGCGCATCCATTTCTCAGAACGAGCTACTTCTGAAGGCTTCCACACATGGTTCTCGCTGCAGTACTCATCACTGCATTTTCAAAAAGAAAATCTGTACCCACCGAAAGTGAAATGCAAAGGTGAAAGGCTTTAACTAGAGGTACGCATCCCGAGAAAGGGGTAATGGAGGGTGGGGATGCTGAAGCAGGCTTCCACACCATCTGCTTTCCCCGGGTGAAGCTCCTTGGCCTGCAGTTTGCAAAGAGCTTGAGGTTGCCTTCACTTTTTAACTCTGCTTTAATAAGGCAAAACCCAAAACAAAGGAGGGCTGAGGACTCATTAACTCACTCATATTTCTCTCTCTCCTCCCCACCCCCTCTTTCTCATCGCTAGGATCCGCTAAAGCCCACATCTATTCGTTAAGCACTAATGGTGTAGGGTTAGGGAGATAAAAGCTATGTATGACACCGCTGTTTCTTTAAAGTTCACAACTGAAGGAGCTAAAACCCAGGTTCCTCCTGATGCTGTTGTCCTCAGAACAGGGATGGTCCTGGCTAGAGAAAAGCGCAGCAGGAGAGACCAAGGTTTGAAGTATCACCCCTCCCTGGCCTCTATCTCTCCATCCAGGACTGGAGTCTCTAACTAGACCAGATCAGTTGGTTCAGGGAAATAATTTTACATCCACCGAGCAGTTCCTCATTGCAAAGATGAATGAAGCAGTTATAAAGACAGGAAGAAAGATTCTTCATCTGGACCCCAGTTGGGCAGAAATTCCTTGTGTTCCAAGGGATCCTCATTGGGCAGGAGTAGCATAGGATACCAAAAGTGAGGCACTGGGGGTTGGTGGGCAGGGGTAGAGGGCTGAACTTTGAATACATCCCCAGGCAGTTCAGTCAAGGCCAAAAGTGTCAGGCCATGGGGCAAAACTGCACCACTGAGGAGCTGAGGTCCAGCCCAACACGGCAAGAACCTCTAAGGACTTGTGAGCAACAGGACAGGAGAAAAGGAGGTACTTAATGCCGTGTGACTAACACCAAGACTCACCTCTTCAGAGAGGTGGCCAGGCTGAATCCTGTAGGTTAGGCGTGAGAACAAACTCCTTCACCTTCCCCCCACCAGAAAACAGGAGAACCCAGCAACCCAGCACCCTGAATGGACCTCCGCGTGTCAGGCAGGCAGGCAGGCAGCGCACCACATACCAAAGAGCAAATCAACTTTTGCTTGCCCCGGTCAACTAGCGCCAGGTCTGAAGAGTCTGCTCTTCTTAGAAGGGCTAAAGTGAGTTCATACTGAACTCTTGCTTTTTGCTTGGAAATCCAGGCAAGAGGCACTTTTAAAAATGACTCAGCCTAGCCCTCCTTACCCAGTATACAGGGGCACCCCACTTGGGACGGCTACAGAAAAAGAGGACAATTCCTCAGGATGATGGAGCCTAGTGCTCAGATGTAGGAGTCTCCCGGACAACGGAAACCAGAAGGGAAACAAAGTATCAGGAGGCTTCCGCAAGGTGAGCGCAGCCCCTTGGCCCAGTCACCAGACTTCTCACAATTTATCACTCTCACAAACTCTTAGGCCAGGCAGGGGAACCTAGGGCAGCAGACATAAGGGTTTGCCCTTGGGCTATTTGCTGCTGGGACCCCCTGAGCTCTCCTCCTTATCCTGCAGGAACCCCCAGCCTGGGGGAAGCGTTGGAGTGTTACCTCTATGTGAGGATACCAGTTTGGCAGCCCGGAGCAATTCCCTGCGTGGGGCCAAGCCGGCCTCAAAAGTAAGTCAGCCTCTTAGGTTTCTTCTCACAAATCTAAGTTACACCTGAGATCTGCCCGCACCTGGCCTGGCAAGAGTTCACACCCTCTAACTTCTAATTAGGTCGAGGTAGTGGCACTCCCGGTGTTGGGGAGGAGCTCCTTTCCTTTACCCTCCCCTAGAAAAGATTTAAAAAAGAATGGTTATCTCCAAATCTCTAAAGTCCGGGGCCTAGCTGCGTAACTCTGCACCTGCCAAAAGCAGGGTCTTCGCTGCGACTCAACAGCTGCCCAGCCCACGCGGCTGGAGAGGGTAGCTTCCCCGGCCTCAACTCTCCTCCATGTCCTCTCCAGAGCCCAGGAGGGATGAAACTCTAAGCAGTCTGAGAGCCTGGCTACCCTGTTCTCTCGCCTCACATTCCAGACGACGCAAGGCTCGCTCTCTCGCTCTCTCTCTCTCTCTCTCTCTCTCTCTCTCTCTCTCTCTCTCTCTCTCTCACACACACACACACACACACACACACACACACACACACACACACACACGTCTTGATCTAGTTCCACCGCCCCTACGGTCAGAGACAGCAGGACCCCCCCCCCCCCCATCCCCAACGCCACCTCTACGCCCGTCCCCCCGTTCCCTTCTCTGGCGTCCGCCAGGCGGCACCCTTCCAAAACAAAACAGAAAGGCAGTGCGGGGTAGTTTCGCGGGTTCATCTATCTGTCCGGGTCCCCCCACCCCACGAACCTGACCCCCACCCCACCCCCATCACCCATCAGTGGCTGCCTGGTGGCCCACTGCGAGAGCCTGAGAGTGCGTCTAGCTACACCAGGTTGGACAAGCAGGCAGAGTGCTCGCGGGACAGTGCTCCCAGGTCCTTCCCGCCAGGCCCGCGCGCCCCGGCTCACCTTCTCCCCGGTCAGCACGTGCAGCCCCTCGCGCACCTTGGCGAAGGAGCCCTCGCCCAGCTTCCTGCTGCCGATGAGGTAGTTGCCCACGCGCTTGTGGTGCTGGAAGTCCCGGAGCCGCTCGCGGGACACGCCGCTCACCCAGGCGGGCAGGAAACTTCCCTCGCAGGCCGCCGCCGGCCTGGCTGCGTCCTCCGCGCCCCCGTCGCCCCCGGGAGCCGCCGGCTCGCCCAGGAGCCCGTCTCCCGCCGCTGCCGGCATCGCGCCCGCTCCGCTCCCGCGCTCGCCGCTGCTCCTCCTCCGGCTGCCCGGGGCTGCCCCGGCTCCTCCTGCCGCCGCCCTGGACCCGGCCCCGCCCGGCCCGGGTCTCCGCGCTTACGCCCCCCGCGCCTCCGTGCGAGCGCGGCGCGCAGACAATAGCTGGCGACGGGGCGACCGGGGACCCGCCCCCGAGAAGTTACTCCTCGGAGGATCGGTCGCTCAGATCGCGTCCGCCGTCCCGTCGGGTGCCCTGCTCGGGTGCTGGAGCGAGCAGCTGCTGGTCCGAGAGGAGCGAGGTCGGGTAGCCGGGTCCCCCAAGCCCAGGCGCCGCCGCCCTCTAGCCCGCCGGGTCGTCAGCGGTGCGCCCCGGGGCCGCTCCCGCCGGAGAGGAGCGCGCGGCGGGCTGCAGGCGCCCTCTGGAAGGCAGCAGAAGAAAGCCTCATTCAGTTTGAATTTGCAGAAATTTAATCCGCTCGCGGGCGGCGGGGACAGACGCGAGCTCCACTCGGCAGCCCGAGCACTTTCAAATCCCTCCTAGCCCCTCCTTCCTTTCCCCGCGCGCAACAGCCGAACTCGACCCTTGCTGGAGAGGGGAGGGGAAGGGAGAGGCGGAGTGGGCGGCGAAGTCACCTGAGCGCCAGACAGGGGGGACCCCGCGCGGCCGCGGAGACGCGCGCTCCCGGGCTGGCCAAGACCTGCCGCCTCTGGCGGCGCGGATCGCGCTGGTTCTGTCTGGGCTTGAGCTCTCTGGACCTTTAGGGAGTGAATTTCCGCACTAGCAGCACGCAGCAGGGGCAGGGGAAAGAGAAAGAGGAGCTCTGGACTGTAGGAGGGTTGGGTCCCCAGCCCAGAGTGGCACACAGTAGGGACCCTGGACGATGGATGGATGGATGGATGGATGGATGGATGGATGGATGGATGGATGGATGGATGGATGGATGGATTTCCGGGAACGTAGCAGGCTGTGTGTCGGGATTCGCGCGCAGACCAGATGACTGGGTTGAAGAAGCAGCCGCCACAGTTAATAGTAGTGGCGGCAGCATAGGAACCAGGGCGTTTGCTGCCTGTGCGGGTACGTTTGCACCCTCTCTGCTTTCCATAGCGATGATGTCGGTGATTGCAGGGTGATCCGGACCAGAGCTTCGCCGCTCCTGGATGCTTTTGTTCTGCGGGCTCTGTACTGATCTCACATAAACAATTACATCTGTTCTGAGACACCTACCCGATATCTCCAGGATCCCCAACATCTTCGTGAACCAAAATGAGGGTTACAAAAAAAAAAAAAAAAGGATGCAGACAGGCCTTTCCAAATTGCGACCTGTTGAGGTGGCCGTGTCTAATGCAAATTAATTTAACCTGTGGTCACTCAGCATCTGCGCTCAAGGGGAGGATTCCCTCCTAACAAAGTTCATTTCATTGTTTACCCCGCAGTAAACAGGTATGACATCATCGATCCACATTAATACTCGGAGATGGGGGAGGGGACATAGCTGTCACCCTTCCAGTGTGTGTGTGTGGGGGGGGGGGGGGATGTCCCTAACCTATCTGAAAAATAACCTAAAAAATGCCTGTTTTCAAGTTTGAGCATCATTTGTTTTGAATCACGACATGCTGTCAGTCTCCTCCCTGGCTCTCATGACCCAGTCTAGTGCTGGGCTCTCCTTGCTCTGGATTTCCCACAATAAAGACAAGCGTTCCACTGCTTTCTTGCTGTACTTAAGGGACTTCTCAGCTCCTACAGTTTCTGCAGGGCGCATCCAATCGCTTTCACGTTTCCCATTCAGTAATTTAATTTTGAGAAGACTGGAGGTGGGGAGAGAGGATTTGCTAGGTCTACTGTGTGGGGAGGATGAAGCCCACTTTGGGGAGAATCTTCCACCAGGAAAGGATTTAAAGTTTCCCAGTGTTGTGTCATTTAATTTTAGGAAATTAGCTCTTTGTGAAAACTTAAGAGATTTGTTTGTTGCCATTTAAGGCAAATCCCAGAAAGTACTCGTCATTTCTGGGGGAAACACTTCACAAGGGGTGGAAGTCCCTTACAGTGAAATAAAGACTTTCTTTCCTTTTAATGTTTTGATTATGCCCTCCCAGGGTAGAGGTCAGGAAAGGGGTGAAGAAGAGAGAAAATGTGGGCCCATTAAATCTTCTTCAGGCCTGCTGCCTGGATCTGATCCAAGCTCACTGCTAATTCTACTGGCTGGGATGGACGCCAAAGAGAAGTTCAAATCCCACCCCTGCCTGGGGGTAGTGGCTGGTTTTTGAACTACAGTTCCTGCTGTCTGATGTGGCTTTCCTCAATAAGGAATGACTCCGGAGTTCATTTCATAAGACAAACAACCCCACAAAACACTGCATCACCCTCACACTAGGTACTCTGGAAATACATGGCTGAGTCACACTAGGTACTCTAGAAATACATGGCAGAGTCACACTAGGTACTCTAGAAATACATGGCAGAGTCACACTAGGTACTCTGGAAGTACGTGGCTGAGTCACACTAGGTACTCTGGAAGTGCATGCCTGAGTCACACTAGGTACTCTGGAAGTACATGCCTGAGTCACACTAGGTACTCTGGAAGTACGTGGCTGAGTCACACTAGGTACTCTGGAAGTGCATGCCTGAGTCACACTAGGTACTCTGGAAGTACATAGCAGAGTCACACTAGGTACTCTAGAAATACATGGCAGAGTCACACTAGGTACTCTAGAAATACATGGCAGAGTCACACTAGGTACTCTGGAAGTACATGCCTGAGTCACACTAGGTACTCTGGAAGTGCATGCCTGAGTCACACTAGGTACTCTGGAAGTACGTGGCTGAGTCAGAGCAGTCACACATCATTGAAGAGCCCCTTCTAAGCCCCTGAACGTGGAGGGTTCCTATGACAGACTAGCTGCCTTTGTACTGGAGAGGTGGCTCAGTGGTTAAGAACCTGAATTGCCCTTCCAGAGGACTGGAGATTGGTTCCCAGCATACAATTGATCTGCTCACAACCACCTGTAACTCCAGTTCCAGGGGATCTTGTACCTTCTTCTAGCCTCCAAAGGCACTTGTCCTCAGGGGCACATGCTCCCATACATACATACATACATACATAATTTAAAATAAAGTATTTTTTAAAAAGAAGTTATCTGTCCTCATCCAGGCTGGGCTGTTCTAACTCCACACTTTCACTTATCCCACACTTACATCCGAACTGCTGCTTCTGACCCATTTTCACCCATCACAGGTGTTCTGTAAGAAGCCCTTCCCAACCAATGAGCTGCTATAAGCTGTTGAACCCTCTGTTCTCACTGGGTACCATCCAGCTTCACATCCACCTTCTGTCTTCCATATTGCTTATTGGATGTCCTTCTTTTTTAGAACCAGTGGACAGGGGCTGCGCCTGCTTGGTTTGGATTTTGCCCTACAAGCACCCTGCACAGCGTTTGAGCTACAGACTTGTCTAAAGAGTATTTGTCAACTAAGTGAATGAAAGCTATCAGTTACTGAATGTCCAGTGACGTTTTCTTGCTTGGGGACAGCAAGACTCCCACCTTCCCTCAGGTAGACTTTACAAATGACCTTCTAAAGTTATTGTTACATTGTTGCCTTTGGGGAACCAACAGATTTAATCATTGATCATTCTCAGACTTGGAGGAGCTGACCCTTTCCAAAGCGTCATCGCTCGCGAGTGGCCAGGCGAGCCTGGAGAAGCTGTTTCGGTTGGCTTGGGCCAGCTGCTTCCTTCTAGCTCTTCCCTTCCTCCTTTTCCTCCTTCCATATGGCTGAGAGACTGTCTGTGTGCTCCCACAGTACGTACGCCAGCTACGAAGACCCAGCTGGAAGCAGTCAAAGACAATTAGAAATAATCAGCCTGGCACTGCCAGGAAGTGAGAGTTGGCTGGGAAGGGCTGGACTGGCAGGGGTGGCATGGTAGCTGGAGAAGAAACAGCAGAGCAGAGGCAGGAGACATGGAGAAAAGACGTTTGGAAGACGGCCTGAAAAATCAGTGTGTCCGTTCTCTGTAGGCAAAGCAACTGGCAGCTAGCGGACTCTGGATTTGAACCGTGTCCCCAGAGTTCATGGCTGTCATGATTCCTGCCACACAGCTGTTGACTGTGCTCAGTGCCAAGGCTAAGGAATAAAGGGTTCCTCAGTCATAAAATCTGGTGTGCATGGGCAGCCTTGCATTCCCAGTACCCGCCCCCGCCCCCGCCCCCCCAACAATGACTTCTCAACAGGGACAATTCACCTCTCTGCCTCAGCTTCATTGACATGCAAATCAGTGTTTAGCTCAGTCTCTGGCATGTTATAAGCCTGTCTATTTTTGCTCACTCTTTCGTTTGTCTTATCTACTTTTCTGTTGCTGTGAAGAGACACCATGGCCAAGGCAACTTAGAAAAAGGAAGCATTTACTTTGGGGCTTGCTGTTCCTGAGGAGAATAGGGTCTGTGATCACTGTGATGGTAAGCATGCAGCAGACAGGCATCACTGGGGCAGTAGCTGAGAGCTTACATGTTGAGACAACAGCCCCAGGGCAGAGAGAGGCTAACTAGGAATGGCATGGACTTTTAAAACCTCAGAGTCCACCCTCAGTGACACACTTCCTCCAACAAGGCCACACCTCCTAATCCTTCCCAAACAGTTCCACCAACTGCAGAACAAGCATTCAAATACATGAGCCTTTGGGGGTCGTTCTCATTCATACCACCAATACACCAAGAGAAGTCAGTCTAGAATGTCCCAAAGCCCACAAATGCCTCTCCTTGATGTAATGAAGGTCATGTCTACGGACATGACCTCCAGATTGGACCTTTTCCCTCATTCCAAGCCCCATGGGATGACTTCATTTGATGGGATCTCAGACTTCATCTGGCACCATGACCCACACCTCTCCCTTCTCTTTTCTTGGGCTTCACCCAAGTTCAACATCAAGCAGCCATCCTTTGCTTCCTCTCCTCCTTAACCCTTGTGTCTATTCCATCAGACAATCCTGGTCTCTGCCTCAAACCATGACCCACCTGTGACCACTCACGACTCTCACCTCTGTCACCCTACTGCAACCACCATGATCTCTCCCCTCCTAACTGGGGCCCTTTGCTTCTACACCAAGCCAAAACTCTCTCTTAATTGTGGTGCTAATAATCTGTTTTTTTTTTTTATTAATAAGACCATTTAGCAATTCGTGTTACACTTAATAATTGGAGTGGGGAGCTAGAGACATGGCTAAGTGGTTAAGAGTACCAGTAATCCTTCTAAAAAAAAAAAATCCAAGTTCAGTTCCCAGCATCAATATGGGTGTCTCCAGTTTCAGGTGTATCTGATGCCCTCTTCTGGCTTCCTTAGGCACTGCACACATGTGGTGCATACACCACAGACAAGCAGGCACACATAAAGTAAATAAAATAAATTAACCTCTTTTTTAAAATGAGACTCAGATTCTACCAGGTCATTGCTCCCCACATCCGTGTGCCTGGCACATCGCTGGTGCTCAACTTCATCTCAGCTCTTATCTGTGTGGGAGACGAGGGTGGTTCTGGGCTTTGAATGGACGTGGTAACTCGAATGTGGCAGGATGTGGATGGTGGTACCAAGCCAAACCCCCACAAGCACTTCCTAGCAGCCACCACAGTGACACCCTGGGGCGGGGGTGGGGGGATACATTTTTCACACAAGATGTCAGTGGTTGCCCCTCCAGGAAAGCTGTGCTTTTTACGTGCCTGCCTCAGTCCCCAAAAGCCAAAGGATGTGCTGTTGCAAGAAGAGCAATGTATCCTCCACCTCCACCATCAGGGAACTCAGGACTCTCGGATTCTGCATCCCAGATGGAGGCACTGGGGAGGAGTGACATTTAAAACATTCCGCAGGGAAGACACCACCATGCACAGTCCTCCTGCATGAGTTTATCAGGTGGAAGTGGGGTCCCTCTCACACCGACACCAGTGTCATCCCTGTCCCTCTACAAGGCCCTGAGATCTGCCTCTCTCCCTGGTACCTACCTTCATACCCATGTCACCTTTCTCATCCCCCTACAATCACCCCACTCCAGTCACAGTAGATTGCACATGAAACCTGCTCCCCAGTGGACTCTTTGCATCCCTTGTTCTTAGAGTACCTTTCCCCCAAATACCCACAGAGCTGACTCTCCGTCACCGTCTTGTCTTTATTCAAATGTCACCAATCTGTGACCTTTTCTCTACAATAGGAACAGACCCTGAGCCCCACCTCCATATTCTTTCCCTCGTCTATTTTTTTTCATAGCACTTATTGCCGACTGAGAAATTACATAGTTTCCTTATTATTTTTGCTTATTGTTTGTATTCCTTTCAGGAACTACGGCTCCGTGAGGGCTGGGACTTTGGTTAAATGTGCTGTGCATGGAGCCTGACTCCTGGGAGGGAAGCAAATACAAATTTGTGGTGGTTGGATGAATTTTTTAACCCACCATAATAAATAAGACAGAAAAAAGAGAAATTGCAAGAAAACTGGGTCCTGCTGGAGATTGTATGCA